TGCCTGGTGCGTTTCAGCCTGGGTTACAATCCACAAACGCGGAGCTCGTCTTCCCGCATCCAAATGATACGGATCCTAATTATTGGACGGACTCTAGGCTACCTGAGGGAATATATAGAGCTAGAAAAGCTGGTGCTATACAGCCGGATGACCGGTCGTTTGTAAACAACTATTTGAAACGGCTCTGCCCCACAAAGGCTTGAAGGCTAATGTCTCTAGGGCGTTACGGATCACAATGGAGCAAAAGCCACCCGCCATAATCGCAGGAATCATTAGCATGTTCGAGGGAGTATTTTCGCGCCTTCAGGAAGATGTTACCCGCGTAATAATTGATGAAGCTGGTATGGTTCCAGAGAGTCAGTTATTAGCACTATGTGCAAGACTACCGAACTTAAAGCAGGTATTCATTATGAAGCAACTCCCACCGTACAGGGCGCTTGTACGGCTATTCGATGAACATCTTCCTCATGCACCCGTGGTAATATTGTGCTTCTATAGCGGCACAAAGCGCGTTCTGGAACTGGCCCTAAAGGACAGGAAATGTACGGTGCACACAATCGATCAGTTCCAAGGCCAAGCGGCACAAATTGTAATACCGGTAACAACAAGGGACTTTTCCGGTGACGAGCCAAACCGCAACCTCGACTTCTTTTTGGATCCGGCTCGCATCACAGTGGCGCTCTCTAGAGCAAAAGATGGGCTGGTGGCGGTGGGCAATTTTGACCTTCTTATAAGTAGTAATGAATGGTACCGTTTTGTTAAAGCAGCTACCCAGTAAACCCTTATTGTGCGGTCTCTCTATCTGGTCAAAATAATTGGCCAACGCCCGGGCTATCCGTGCGAAGATGCGTTTTTTGCAGAGTTCCCCACAGTCTTTGTCGTTACCCGCATCGGTTTTTTCGGCAGATGCTTTTAGCTGAAAGAATTTCAGACTGGCCGCCAGAACTGTCTGGAAACATCCCTTCAAAATTCCAGTCTTCTAGCTTCTCACGTTCTCGAATAACTTACCCGGAAAGAAATTTTCACGGGCCTGTACGTAGGTACCACGCTTACCCGCGGGCAGGGTTTGAACTCGTTAATATCCGCTTAGGCAGGGAACACCCCCGACGATTTCAGCTCTCTAGCTTCTCAGAATCTCGAGTTATGAATTTACGCGAGAAAAACTTCGGGGGGCCCGTACGCGGGTACCACGCTTACCCAGGGGCTAGATTTGAGCCCATTAGCACCTGCTTGGGCGGGGAAAATTCCCCTAAAATTTCAGCTTTCTGGCATCTCAGAACCCCGAGTTACGAATTTACGCGGGGAAAATTTTGGGTGACCCGTACGCGGGTACCACGCTTACGCGGGGCTGCATTTGAGCTCATTTGCACCTCCTTGGGCGGCTAACATTCCCCTAAAATTTCAACTCTCTAGCTTTTCCGGTTCGTGAATTAGCAGCTTACCCATAAAAAACCTTGGCGGGGTCTTACGTGGGTACCACGCGGGAGAGACCGCCCATACGTGCATGCAGATTAAGTCCCCAAAGTTTCAGCTTTTGCCGGTCTCGAAATGAAAAATCGGTTCAGACGCGCAGCGCACACACAGACACAGACACAGACACACACACACACACACACAGACAACATCTCGTCAATATGCGTTTTTCGCTTTGCATTGCTGCAAAAAACGCATAATAAACAATTGTAGGTATGGTAGGTCCCAGGATGTTTTAATGATATTAGAGCCACCAAAAACCATTGTATCGCGACGACACGTGCATATGAACCAGCGCCTTATGTAAAAAGCTGAGCGTGCATAACGAGCGACCTATTTTACTGCTATAAAACAAAACATCAACAAGAAGGTATATTCTCTCTATAAAAAAAAGTAGTAGGCACTCCGTGTATAAAAACTTACCAAATTACAATTTTTTTTTCTCTTTTTTTTTGCTAATTACAAGGTCAAATTAAAATAAAATAAAGGTGGTTTGTTTAAAAAAAATATAATAACGATATTTGAATCAGATAAAATGCTCCTAGTCGTTTAGCCCGAGCGAACGTTCAAAATTTTATTAATAGTAGGATCAGTGCTATAATCCCGGACAAATCTCCTTACCAACAGATATCACGGAAATCCCGGCTTTTCATTTTTTTTTAGTAAGCTTAGTAATGCTGTGCCTCTGTAAAAGTTCATCGTGTACGTTTTACAATGCCTTAAGTACTCCTGAGTGCTAGTGTGTTCGTTTTCTTTTGTGTGCGTTGATATTGGAGTTTGCATAATATTTTCTGTACTACTTATTTTGCAATAATTTAAATTTTAAAAACTATCATTTTTTGACTGTCTCAATTGTGTTTTAAATGATAAGTGTACATACGCGAATTTTGGGTTGCAATTATTTTTTTTTTGTTTCTTTTTTCCTTTCTTCATGCGACGTAAGTAGCTCTATGAACTTAAACTACGTTTCCTGTAATAACTGTATGTGGGAGCGTAAGTGATTTTGTAGTAGAAGTGCTAGCATTTGAACCCATAAAGTTTGGTTGGTTTTATTTCCCGCTCTTTCTTCCCCCTTTTTTTCTCTCTTTTTCTCTCTTTCTTTCTGTCTCTTTTTCATTCAAGAACAAAAAAAAAA